CTCTGTCTTTAGTGTCCTATTTTTCTTTTCTGTCTTTTTTTTTTTTTAATTCTTCACACACACACTGAGGGGGGGGGGACGGGACAAAATTGGCCATTTAAAATAAAGTTCTTTTCTAGTGAGTAAAGAGGTTTCTCAGAGCCAGAAATCACTCAAAAGAAAGTCTGCAGACCCTACCCATGGAAAAGGCTGGAGGTTTCCCTAAGTACCTCTTGCCAAACTTCCTAGCTTTGTGATTGGATGTTTTTTGGTTTAGTATTGTTGGGTACTGAATACATTTTGCAATTCTTTTGTTCTCTTCCCCGGAGCTTCCATTACCCTGGACTTCAACTCATTACTAAATTAAAGAATTCTTTTTAGATGGTTTCTTTTAAGAGTCAAGTCACAGCAGAAAAGGCACCCACCCTCTGTTCTCTTTCCTCCCCAGGGCATCTCCTGCCTGCTCCTGGGCTACACCTTTTTGTTCTTGTAGCTGCAGCTGCACACTGGTCAGGGCAGAACCTGTCTGATGTGATCTGTCAAACCGTATACCCCCCATAGCTAGCCCTAACTAATCAAAACAACTCCCTCTGCAACATCAGGGGAAGGCTCAGATGGGCATGTCTGCTATGCATCCTTGCCAGGTCAACCTCCCTGCCAGCATTCCTCAGGGCAATGGTGTTGGGAGTATCTTGGAGGATTGCAACGAGGAACTTTCCTGTGCTTTCCTGGGGACCCGAGGCCTTTGATGAGGCACACACTTCTGGTTTAACTTCCATGCTGAAAGAAAACACTGCTTTGGAACATAAGTAGGACATGTGATAGTGGATGGTGTGAGATGGAATCATAGGTAGATCCTGACAGAGATACTGACATGAAACTCCTGGTCTCCAATCTCAGACATACAGACTCTTGCTGCTCATGCATTGAAGGAGCTTTCTTGGTCCTTACATGCTATTATGATATACAATAAAGTGTCTCTTACTTACAGAGAAAGATGGCAAGCCCAAGTCTTTCTAAAGTCAACAGCTACTGTGACCTCCTAGATAGGGGAATGGTAGCATCTGGGGCATGAGCCGGGATTACTTACCACCCTAACTCCTGACAAAAAGAACTGGGATGGGAGAGTCTGCAGAAGGGTAAATTCACAACAGTGAAACTACTTCTATAAAGATTTTCAGTCGGGCAGTGGTGGTACACGCCTTTAATCCCAGCACTTGGGAGGCAGAGGCAGGCATATTTCTGAGTTCGAGGCCAGTCTGGTCTACAGAGTGAGTTCCAGGACAGCCAGGGCTACACAGAGAAACCCTGCCTCAAAAAACCAAAACCAAAAAAAAAAAAAAAAAAAAAAAAGATTTTTGTTTGGGATTACTGTGTGTGTGTGTGTAGCGTGGGAGTTGTTTCTCAGTTATATGTTCTTGTTTTTTATTGTAGAGCTGAATCACATCCTTTAGTTCTAATTATTGTCTTTTTGGGGGGTATATTATACACAGCTAGGGGCTCTTTTTTTGTATAAATGCTAGTACCATTTTTTTGTATTTAACAAATTCCTTGTTAAAATCATAGATTGTTAAAAGAAAAAATTATACTAGTATTCTTTTGCATACTAGCTCTTGTTTCCCTAAACTTCTCAAGAGGTCTTCTGCCTGCAACGCCCGCTTCCATCATATGTGTGGGCATGTGTGTGCATGCACCTGTGTGTAAGTGTTCCTGAATACTAAAAGGACCTTTTTTATTTGTTTTCTAATTTTAAAAGAACTGATAGCATCCCATCATAAAAACTGTAGGACTGAAAAACCAAAAAGTGCCACTCTTTCTCTTCTGCTCTTTCTTGTTTGTGACTGTTAAATATCGAGTGTGCATGGGCAATCCTGAAAGCACCTGTAAGGTTTGGAAGTAGGTGCAGACTAGCTTATCTTCTACAATAAAGGGCAGTTGGAAGCCAGCCCTGGGGAGGCCAGATATACAGCACTAGCACTACAGAAGCGTCTTTGCTTTAGAGCTCTGATGCCAATGGAGTGTCTCCTCAATTCTAGAAAGCACTATTTAAGGTTGGGAGATATTTGAGGGAAAATACAGTATGAATGAGCCTGTATGATAGGACCTGACCAAGAATTCCTTAGGGATCTCCCCACATGTTTTAAAAAGGAATATTCCCTTTATAGGGAAAGGATGTGTCTCAGAGTTTCAAGTCACCTGGTGTTCTTCTTCTTTTTTTTTTTTTTAACATGCTCTATAACCAATATTGGAGTTTTAACCCAGTTGCTTAGCTTTTGACAATGGCAAATCAGCATTAAGACAAATGGGATTCTTTCAGATGCAGTAAGCAGATGGGAAGTGTAACCTAATGGCACTCAAGGTAAGTTTTCCCAGGAACAGTCTGAGAGGTTTGACTAGAGACACTGCTTGCAATGAGCTCCTGTTTGTCAGCAGTGAGGATAACTGAAGCTGGGCCTTGGCTTTCTCTTACTTGCTTTATATGATGAGGGATTTCATGTCTTTTTTCCTCCAGATTAAGAAAAAAATATCACAGCATCAGTTTTTTTCCCCCTGAAGGGTTAAATGACTCATTTTTTGAACTATCCAAATGATTGCGTGATGTCGGTACTTAATGCCCCTCTGTTGGCAGTGAGAACACAGTAAGTCTCTCCTGACTTCCAACATCCACAACAGCAGAGATGGGTAGAGGGAACCTCTGCATTTCTGAAGCTAAGTTTTAAAACAGGTCACACAAGTTTTTGGGTGTCCTTTTCTCAGAAATCACGATAAGTGACACTCAGTAGTCAGTTTTCCATCCAAATCCACACTACAACTTCTAGCAAAACATCCACGGAATTAAGCCATAAGACCAACTTCAACGCCACAAACACTCCAGTTGCACAAACTACTAAACATCACGAAGAACTTATGGAAAAGATCCAAGTTAACCATTTGTCTAAAATATATGAATAAAACCAATTTAGTCATTATAGTGTTGCTTGCCTTGGAAAATTTTCCCTCGTTTGCTGCCTTTGTGTGTGTGTGTTTGTGTGTGTGTGCATGTAAATAAAATGCTAACAGGAAAATTAGGAGGAAAATTGAATTAAAAGCAATTTAGAAAAGAAAATATCTTCTCTTTTCTCTTTTATAAAATATAGTTTTGTGTTTCTGTGTTATTGGAATAGTTACTTTTCCTTTTAAGTGTGCTAAAACATGGCCAGTCATGAAATTACTTAGCAAGTATTAGCTAGGTTTAAAAAGTCCTATTTTTTTTTAGCTGGAATCCCTTCAGGACATTGTACATAACTGGAAAATCTTATGATTTCTTCATCAAGACCAAAGAGAAATCCCAACTAGAAAGAGTAGCATCTGGGGTGATGCAGGAGATTCATGGCCTTTTGAAAGCTGGATGTTAGCATAGAGAAACTGTTAATTTTCAAAAAAGCAAGAGTCAATAATTAACTAAAGAATGATCATCCTACTCAGCCCTGTCAGTCATGGTGGAAAGAGTCAGAGGCTGTGAAAGGAAGAAAGGAGTTTTGGCATCAATGCACTGTGGTTTGTAACAGGCTTCTCATAGTGACGCTCACATAGTGGAGAGAGGGGAGGGGGCAGGGAAGAGGCATGTGCATTCCTTCTCCTGGTGGACCATAAAGGAAACGAACCCCTGTGTCAAGATCTCTAGACCACTAGTGTTTCTTTCACGGGGGGGGGGGGGGAGAGCAAGGTTAATGGGAACTCTAGAATCCTAAGAGCTCAGTGAAATTTTGAAGAAGTTGAGAAATCTGCTTCTAAAAGAGCATGTCCCTCCCATGACAAAGGACAGACTTCTAGATGGACAGGTGATAACTATTCAGTGGAGCCACTTAAGCTTGCTAGAAGTCAAAGATCTACGCATCAAAAACAGAGCAGCAGTTGAAATTACAGCAGGGTGGGTGGGCCTCGGAGGCCCTCAGCAACCCAGGCAATACTTTAAAATAATAAAAATTAAGAAAAAAAATATGAAGAAAATATCCTTCCTCTCTTTCAAATATAACTTTAGTTGCCTTTTATTCTTTCTATCTGGAAGCAGTATCGCTAACCTTAACAGTCTTGACTTACCAAAAAATATATATATGTGTGTGAGACAAAGTAAAAGGGGCGGCGGCAGTATATGCGAAACCAAAATGAGAAAAAATCACTTTTAACAATCTCACTTTTTTGTTTTTTTTTTTACACAAATACTGTTGTAAATATATTAAAAAAATCAGCATTCTATCTGGTAAACATCACTTTTGCCCCTCTATAAATTTTTGAATTAAAAAAGCCTCAAGAACTTTTACTGTTCCCCCCACCCTCCATTTCTCTTTCTTTTTCTCTTCCACAAGAATATATCCTGACACTTTTTTTTTTTTTGCAAAGATTGTTGGAAATAATCCTTCTCTTGTACCTAGAAACATAGGTGCAAATCTGTAATCTTTGTTTTATCTGCATTCCTGCCTTTCATGAAAGTCCCTCTTGATTGTGCTGAGGCGGTGGCTCAGCGAAGACACTGAATAAATACGATAGCCACTGTTGCTTGTTGCTTGTCCAAGTCTTCCTGGCTTCTGCTGAAAGGGGCAGGGATGTGGAGGAGGTGGGCCAGGATGTGTAGACCGGGCAGGCCTGGGGGAGAAGCCTGCCACACCGTTTCCCCGACACCACTGGGCTCACCGCCCCCTCCCATCCCAGAGCCCTTTAATGAAATCAGACAATGTGGTAGGTGGAATCAGCAGGGCCTTTCCTCTGGGTTTTCAACCAGAAGTGATATTCCACAGTTTAAACTGCTTACTGTGAAGTCCAAGTGGCCAGAATTGTGAAATGTCCACTGAAACACTGTGATCGGTGTACTTAAAGACAGCAGGCCTTTATATCTCGTAATAAATTTTGTAGTGCTCTTCACGAGTGGAAAAACAATTTTTCTTTTTTTTTTAAACATTTTTTTAAAACTTTTTTAAAAGATTTTTTTTGTTTGTTTTTGTTGTGTGTGTGTGTGGTTTTTTGCTTTTTTTGTTTTGTTTTTATTTTGTTTTTGTTTTTTTTGTTTGTTTGTTTTTGTTTTTGTAAAGAAGGGTTGTATTTAGAGGCCAGTAGCTAGAGATCCAACCAGTGGACCTCTTGAAGCACTACCAGGCCTTAAGGCCACCATCCATGGGAGACTGGGAAAAGTATTATCCGCCCAAGCCCCCGGAAATGTAATGTACCAGCAGGCAAAAACCAGTTCTTCATGTAGTACAAAATGAAACGGAACAAAAACAGAAAGTAAAAATGAAACCAAAACATTTCTTAAATTCTAGTGCCATAGCTTTTTGTCTGTCTGTTTGTTTGCTTGTTTCTTTCTTTTGTTGTTGTTTTGTTTGGTTCATAAGAAAGAGAGAAAGGTACTTATCCGTCAGACACATGCATCCTCATGTGGTCGTTGAACTGCTCGATTTGGTCAAACTTTGCTGGGCAGACGGAGCAGACGTAAGTGGTCCCCTCTGTGCAGGCCACCACGCCTGGCGGACCCGCGCGGGCACCTGGGGGCGTGCCTGCAGGAGGGGTCCCGTTGCTGGCACTGTGCAGGGCCACATGTCGCTCCAGCAGGGTCTTGTGGGAGAACTTCTTTTTGCAGATGTAGCACTCATAGGACTTCTCCCCGCGGTGCAGGCGCATGTGCACATTGAGGGAACTCTTCTGGGTGAAGCGCTTGTTGCAGATGCTACACTGGTACGCTCGCACTCCTGTGTGCGTCACCATGTGCTTGATAAGGTAATCCTTCAAGGAGAAGGAGCGCCAACAGATGCTGCACTGGTGGGGCTTCTCACCTGGTGATGTGAAAAGAGACAGCAAGCAGGACAGAAGAAGACACAGCCAGAGTGGGAGAATGAGAGGCAGAAAAACAAGACAACAAAAAAGAAAAACAAAAAGTTAAAAAAAAAGTAAAAATTGATTGTTTCATGGATCATTGTTGATTGGAAAGATCTAGGCCTCTCTAACTTCCTTTTCAGAGCACGCTTGTTTTAAGAATGCCAGGAGAGTCTAGAGTTTTCTATTTCCCCATGACCAAAAATTGTTTTCTTGTTAAGTAACAACATGCAACCACCTAACTCTTCAAAGGTCACTTGGAAGAAAAACCAAGAGGCTACTTTGTAAGAGTCATTCTCAGTACCATTATTAAAGGTTCACATATTTCCAGTTAATATTATCAAACTAATATCAGAGTTAAGAAAAATGCCTTTGGAGACAGGGGTTTGCTATAATCATTGTGAAGTGAGAACACTGGCTGTATATCCTGATTCTTTTCCCACTATTCGGCCTAGTAAATACACACATTATTGTATCTGATAAAGGTCTTCCTGAGAATGAACTGGCTATTCTGTGTTGACTGCACTGTCCTGCAGATTGACCCCACTGACTGTGAAAGCTGGATAGATGGGGGACAACCATTGTGTCTTCAGCCTTGTTCAAGCCTAGGTACCAATACACTGTGCGCCATCAAAACAAATCACCTAGAGCCTCTGAGGTACACCATCCTGCTTACCTCACTGTGATGGTGTTGACAAGAAATACATATGGAATCACTTTGTAGACCACCAAGGGTGGTGTGGGAATATTTGCATGGCATTCTTATTACAAGGCTACATCCTCCCTCATTAAATGGTTCCATATGCTTTTTGAACTTTTAGGTCAATTTCTAAAATTTTTTTTCTGTCTATTTTTTTTTTTCTTAGCCAGCTGGCACAGCCCTTTTTTCTTGTGTGTTTACTGCTTTGTCTGCCATTGGCCCTGAAACCAAATGATCTAGCTAGTTAAAAATAGTAAAGTAAGAATAGTCACTGAATGATGACAAGGGGGGACCCCTGAAAGTCCATGGGTCTGGGACATCACTTTGGATAATTGTTTAAGAGACTTGCTTATTTTTTAAAAATTAATATTGCTTCTCAACACTTGCTCTCTGATTTGACAGATGACAAAACTTCTCTTAAGTATATGATCTACCTCTTCCATCTCATTACTGAGAGCCCAAAGGAGGCATTTGCCTCAGGGTACCTAAAGCCCCATGCCTGAGACCTTCTCCGGGAAGGTGCAGCAGGTCAAGGGATCTACTCCTTAAGCTTGATTTAGCTCCCATTTAAATAGGGGCCTGGGCTGTCTTTAGTTTTCCATTCTGAAGGAGGCTGGTGGATCATGATAAGAAGAGCAATAAAACAGCCACGCACTGAATGTTTATTATGCTAGGTTCTGGATCGAATGCTTCATATTTATGTTTCATCTTACGGAACTTTCTCTAATTAGACATTTTTTTTTTTTTTTGGTATTTCTAACATAAGGGAGCTTGAATGAAAGCCCTCTGATGGGGAAGTATGAAGTATAGAATCCAAGGGCTAAAAGAGAATCATTTAATTTTTAGATTAAAAGAGGAGAATCTGGGGAAGGCTTACTGCTAGAGAGCTCAGCCTATACATAGTGTTTACATTTGTAAGTTTTTGTAAATGAGAGATCCCCTTGGAGACAACCGTGTGTGCTATTTTTAGTTGAGGCATGGCTGTCAGCTGTAAACACGCTTGCAACTCAGCTGGTCTTTCTGTCCTTGTGCTCTCAGTATCATTTATAGTGGCTACGAGAGGCTAGACAGCTATCTCTTAGAACATGTCCACCTGTCACCTTTAATGGGAAGCATGCCTTAAATTGCAGATGGTATTTTGGCCTGCTAGGAAGGTGAAACTCTGTTAAACCGCTCTTGCTGTTCACCTTCTGACTGTGCTTTTCCTCCAGGCAAGGTCACCAATCAAGGCCCTTTACTTTCACACCCTTCCAATCCCACTACAAATTGATTCTTCACAGTTGTCATCTTCTCCTCTGGCGCATATATACGTAGGTTGTTTATATGCATGTAGTATGGTTCTGTCAGTAATTATTTGTGTGACCCTGGGCTTTTTAAGTGTTTTCATCTCTCTGGGTTTGTTTTGCCTTCTGTAAGTGATAAATTGGACCAAGCACTTGCTATGGCTCTGTGGATTTACTGGCCTTCATCTCAGGGTAGTCAACAGCCCCTAAGGTCTCTAGTCCTGGCCTTGTCAGCAAATCACCTGAGGGCAACCTGCTTACTCACTCAATGCTTGGGCAGCTTTTTTTTTTTGTCCTATTTTTAAATAGGACAAAGTATCTAGTTGTCTGCCCTACCACAGGGAAATGTGGTAGTTGTTAAAGAGCAAAGCGCATGCAAGGCACCTAGGCGCTGGTCAGAGGAAGGTGTTCTCTAAATGACTGTATTGCTGGGGTGACAGAGCTGAGCATTTCAGGGACTGCCAGAATGACCTGGGTATATTTTCATATCAGTCATCTGCCCACACTTGCCCTCCTTACATGGAAAGATTTGAAACAACATCACTCAGCAGGAGTCATAACATTTCCTATCAACTTACTCCCCTACAGATTACCTATAGCAAACCTAAAAGGCAATGGGGCACTGTTCATGAAATGAGTGGTCTGTAGACTGTCACACTGCAGGTGGAGAAATCTGAGGTTAAGATGATAAACGGTCACAGATGGCTTTCTGGGTTGAAGCATAAGGTTCACGTCTGCAAGTCTGGGTTGTTAGGAAGCGTCACAAAATGCAAAGAGGATATGTGGACCATAACATGAAGGGCAGCAGGCAAAGGACCCCCTTACTTTAAAGTGATCTGTTCTGGGGAAGGAGTCTGATATGAATTCCATTTCTTGGCTGAGTGACTTGGGCTTGTTATCCAAGCTTTCTAAGCCTTGGTTTCCTTATCTAGAACCTGGTAATGGTTCAAAATGTGCATGTGTGTGAACTTGTTTTGAATATTAATGATAAGGCACTTAGCACCGAGTATGGGTCATTTTAAGGAAAGCTAAACTGTTGTATACAGCCTGCAAGAACTGAGGATAAAGTAAACCAACTGAGAAATCACTACAATGCATAGGAAAGTAGATCCTGAGTTAAACAGAAGCAAAACCAAAGCAACAAAAACAATGTTTCAGATGAGCCCTAAAGCAAGCTGTTTTACTGAGGCTAGTTTTCAAAGGTAAAGCACAGAGTCTACTCTTCGTTATACACGTTAGTGAAAAAGGCGGTTCCATGCATTAACACAGAGCATAGGCAGGGCGATGAGAGAGAGAGAGAGAGAGAGAGAGAGAGAGAGAGAGAGAGAGAGAGAGAGAGAGAGAGAGAGAGA